CTCTCAGAGTCCGCAGCTTCCTGGTTGAGTGAACCTTTGGTAGAACTGTGCCATCCGAAACCCAACAGTCGCTCAGAATGCTTCTTCCGGAAAGTGGTGCAAATAGCTGTAAAACTCCTTCAATACAACTGATGAATCGTCGTCGTCATCTTCATCATCGTCATCATCGTCGTCGAGCTTAGCCTAAGTCATTTCTAAAAGAAATACTAGGCGTTTCAAACACATTTAGGAGACCTATGGTCTCTATCGCGCGTAACAATTGTCGTTGTGGGTGTGAGATAAAGGAAAATTTTTTTTCGAGCCGTAGAGATGAGTAAAAGAGGGGCGACATCGCGCAAGGCATGGGAAGGAGGTGCAGATTCACCGCTCAGGACTATATTTGTTTCCTTCATTACCACCAGCCAGGCTGCCCAGTAGTCTTAGTGTAGCAATAGCATAAAAGAATTGAAGAAATTTCCTTGGTTCATGATAAAACACGCATTATTGTGTTTACGATTGCGACACCAATAATTAACCAAGGGAAATGGACATGTGACCAACAACAACAAAACTTATAGGGGTATTGACATTTGAGAAAGCAGAACTAGAGAGAGCCACAAGGCTATTGGTACTTACGTGATCCTACAGCGGCGATTTCTCTGAATATAAGTCTTATTTCGTCACCTATTTGGAAGGTTGTGACTTGGCTGCCCGTCACACTTGTAGCTTTCCCAGTATAACCAGGGTATTGGCACGATCTTGGACCTCGCCAGAATCTTCCCAGTAAGTGTCTGTGCCTCGGGCAGATGGTCATTCCCTCGAGCTGAATTCTCGACAAATGCTGAGTTCCCGCTCTCGCCATTATTAACTTGGCCTCTGTAACTTCACTGCATTTTGACAAGTGGCAGCTAGCCAAATGGGCGGGTATATTTTCGTTACACTCCGAGAGCAAAACATGCTCTACTTCCTCCCTACTAGAACCACACGGAGTTTGAAGTATTTCGTAAAGAGAACAATTTGGGGGAATAGCAGACATTTTTAGTGCTAACAAAGAAAACGTCCCAAGAAACACTGTCTCGGATTTGTCTGGAAATCTTTCCGAAAAATGTTTTAGTTCCCGACAGATTTTAATTGAATAAGGAAGAAATAAACAAGTTTACCAAATATTCTATTCTTAAAGAATAGAAATGCCACACAGAAAAGTTGAAAAGATTTACTTTAATAAGCTTTAAGCAAAAAACATTTCGTATCTTTTTGAAGAGATGTACCTGTTATGAAAGGAAATGTAGCTGCCGTCGAATTCCTTTTTCAAAATTAATCAGTAATTGAATTAGGTGAAACAGAAACACACGGCTCCTTTTTGGCGCCTCGTAGAAAATGAAAATGGTCATAAAAATATAATACAAAATTTTGTCATGAATACCGAAAAAATTCCTACAATACAAAGAAGAAAAAGAAAAACACTACTCTGTCATCAAGAAAACACTTAAAAAAATGTGTCCTGGACCACACATTACATAACATCCTGTAGCTAATTTGCATACGGTAATTTATTCATCGCAAGAAAGCTCTCCCTACTTGTTTGTTCTTCAGCACACCTATATCTCAAATACAACGGTGTAAACGTGATATGATACTTATTTTTAATGTAAAAACCAACCCCTCATTATTTATTACTTGATTTTATGGTGGTTCTCGGTCCTGACATTGATAAACTGTCGGACCGTGTTTTATCGAGATAAAAACACTTGAGCGAAAAGAACAACTTTATTTATCAAAACTACTTAGATTCCGTTAGCTCAATGTGTTCAAAGAAAATGGCTCTTGAAATTCTACGTAATGCATTCAAGAAATGATACAACTATTGAGTTTCCACATTCCTAAAGACACTTCTTTGAATAGCTAAATGTTGTTACGGAAACTGTTTGTGACTTGTATCGTATAAACGCGATCGCTGCAGCCAGGAGGCCGCAGTTAATTTGCATTTATAATAAAGTTCGGATATAACGAGCGCTGTCATTGGTTGAAAGAGCGTACTCTATGAGAGTATAGAGCATGGAGCTGAGCTAAAGCTGTCACGCCATCTGCCATACTATGTTCCACCTTTTCCGGGACTTCTTTTTAGCTTTTTTGCGATAATTGAAAGTGAAATTTCGGAACAAGCGAGCTGGCAAGTAGCAACAGAAGAACCAAACAAAGGTTTGTAAACATACCAGGCGCCGTAATTTACGTTATTAAAATGTGAGCAGGTACGAAAATCCTCAAAGGAAAAACAAATTAGACATTCCTAGTTTTAAAGATTTCACACTCAGTAAGATTGCAAGATTACGTACGGTAATAAAAATCAAACACAGCTAACCCTAGTATAGTATCTAAAGTTCAGTGTTCAAAAACAAAACAGAACAAAACAGAAATGATGAACAATATAACCAAACTGGCATAATTGTTAAAATTCATACTAATCATGACGGTGTCTGAGTGAATATGATCATGTTGAAGTCCATCGTGGTTAGCTCATTATGGCGATCTCCGGTCATCACAGTAAAGCAAGCCTCTGAAGCTACATCGTCCGCCCTTCGAGTGAAAAAATAAGAGCTTGCTCTGACATTCTTTCCGATGCGTTGAGTGGAAAGTCACATTAGTCACTGCAGCCGAGTTTTGCGGTGCTGTCATCCCGAGCGATCTTCATGTTCCGGTGAATTCGGCTGTCGTTCGTTCAAAAAACACTTGCCTTGAACAGTTTGTTTTTTACCTTGTCATGTGAAAAAACTCGCATGTTTTTATGAGCCATAATTCGGCTGAAGTTTACTGAATATTTCACTTCAAGATTCTGTATTAGAGACTTAAAAACGTCAGGCAAAAGTGTTAAGAACGAGTCTCTGTAAGAATCAAACAAATTGGGAAATGAAAATTTTCAAACCTTCTTCAAATTTTGCATGCAGTTAGGTACTCAGGGGGATGCACAAAAATGCCCTTTTTAGAGGTTGCAAAACTTTTGTTGCCATGGTAACAATGGATGATTATTCTCGGCGGAAAGGCCATACAAACAAAAATTTGCCTAAAAAGTGTAAAATGTAAATCTCTCAATCTCACGTCTGTTTGAACGATACAACTTAATACTTACAGCACATATAGTGATATTGTTTATCTTTATTGTGGCGCATTCAATTTTTCATGAGAGTTAATGTAAATACAGGAATCGATGATTTATCAAGGTACACTTTCGGCCATTTTGGCTAAAGAGTAAAACAACTAAATGGACAATCAGCACAGAAGAAGAGCTCATACGCTGCAAGATATCCAAGCGACAAGTGTCTTGATGAGCACTTCGTAACTGATGTGCCTTCCATTCTGAAATGAAATGCCTCGCATTTTGGACCATGAAGATTGCTTCATCTCTGTCTTCCTCGTTTAAAAACTTCTTCTTACGTACCTCACAATTAATGTTGTCTAACACCTGCAAAAGAAGCCAGGACTTCAAAGCATTGGACGTTGGCAAACCGTAATCAGTACCTCTCGAACTTTGAAAATACTTGATCTGAGGTCATTACAATTTTCCATTCTCTTCCGCACCTATTCACTTTACGCTATATCTTATATATTTTCAGTACTGTCCATAAATAGTGGACAGTTGGCAATGGAAGTGGATTATAAAAGATACATAAACACACACCTGACAGAGACTCGAGCATCGGTCACAGGCCACCTTATGTTCGTGATTGCATGGCGTTTCGTAAAAGCTGTTTGCGGGATCACTAGACTCGAGAGCAACATGAACCTAGAGTATTGAAGAGGAATGAAAACAACGGAACGGGTAAAGTCGTTGAAAAACTGCAAAGTTATTAAGATTATGAAAACATTCTACCGAATTTTGAAAACAAAGTAATTATTGAAAATCAAATATAATTGATGAGTGGAAAGCACCTTATAATCTCCTTTTAGGTACTGTTTGCCACTTTTTAGGGATTCTTTGAGGCGATCTGCGACATCTTTTCCAAGTCCAATTTCTGAAAGCTTGTCCACAATACTTGACAACTCATCAAAAGCTCTTGCTCCTTCAGCTAAGTAGTTATTTAGGCCTTGCATACATCGTCTGACTGAGGCACTACAACTTTCAGACAAAATTTTCATCAAAGTGCTCCTTGGCAGTGGGTTTGTGAACCCTGTTTCTTGACAATATTGGAAATATTGGTTTACCAGGCGTGTAGGGATGAGTAGCCGAATAACATTTGGAACATCCAGAATTTCACCATTAGACAATTTCACTTTCTTCTTCCAAACGGCAGGTCTTGAATAATTTGCTGACTTGTGATAAAATCAATGAAATGTTCGACTCTTGCCGGATCCACCCTTACTCAGAGTTCTTGGAACTTTTGAGACAATGAGGTTTGTGCTCCTATTCCATGCTGTAGACGGTGACCTGTGAAGATCTGTGAAGGATAGCTCGTCTGCTATAACACTCAGAATTTGTTGACTAGCACTGTGATGCGTGGCTTGTTTGTAGCTCTCTATAAGAGCTGTTAGAAGGGTGGAGTCTGAACTTTTAAAGTCATCATAGCATTGATTAATCTCCCTTAATTCTTTTAAAGCTCTCCATAGCAATCCGGCATCATTAGGAGCCACGACTTCAAGGAGTTAGTTGATGACTTCGCTCATCTTTGAGGTCCAAAAGCGCTTTGTTTTCTCCGAAGCATCTGTCCACGGGACCTGCAATACATGTGTCAGAGGCTTGTGGCCTTCTAAGATAAGAAGTTTGTTAATGGCATCTAATTTCTCAGAATGTACATCCATCTTATCACCACTGTCATCACTCTCACTGTTCTCCATTTGCCACGAAACATCCACTCCTTTCGGCGTCATGATTAAATCATTCCTAGCTCATTTTAAAAGCTTTTTTGGCATATGACTTTGCCAGGGCGGGTCGCTGCTTTCCTATTATCCTATACAAAAATGCAAAAAGTTCAATAACAAATAATTTGATTATTTTTTAATATGTCGAATCTATCTTCACAATTCATCAT